GCCGCATTTATCCATCATGTTTCTTGGTCCCCTGTAAGAGTTTCAGAGCAAAGGTAGAGTACAGAATGCCTGCGCCCAGGCCACGCCTTTGTGGCTTCGCCGCGGCGACGTCGTCCTAGCATGTTTTTCTGCCCTGCCGTCGCATTGTGTCCGTTCCTGTGTCAGTTTGCAAGCCGGCTATTGGCCTCACAAATTTGTGGAACATGTGGTTTCCTGAGGTAGGGCCCTTTCGCCCCAAGGTTTGTAGCCATGGCCGATGCATCGTCAGAGTGGAAGCATTCTGACTTTTTCGCGCTTTCCGAAGCTGACGAGATTGTGCTGAAGAAGCAGATCGCGCAATGCTTAGGAGTCCGGTATGCCAATGTGAAGCAGGACAAGCCTCTGTCTGAGAGCACGTACGGTGTAACTCCGTTTTCCAAAGATGCTGTGGAATCTGCACTTGGCAACTTGGACACCGCCCAGAAGGCATTGTCTACCAATCCACAGGATCCAGCGCTACTTGCGGCTGAGAAAGCTGCCAGCGTCATGGTGTGCACAATCAGTGGGCTGCTTGTGCGGTGGAAGCCCTTGAAGCCAGCCAATGTCGGGTACATCTTGGAGTGGGGTGAGCGGAAGCTAGAGGCCTGGGATCCTGCCATTGAGCGCCGAGCAGGAGGGTTGGACAACAAAGTGCCATGGGAGGCGCAGCATCTTACTTTGAGCAACTCCTCCTCGCTTCTGGCGCTCATTGTTGAGATCGTTTACTTCTACAAGCATGGCATGCTGAAGCCCTTGTTCCGTGGAGAACCTCTGGAACCAGAGATTGCTTCCCTTGTCTCTGCGTTCAAGGGAATTCGTGTGAGCCTTCACCTGCGTGCCATTGCAGATGAAGTGGAGCTCATGAATGCATCCGAGAATGTAGATCAGTTCGAACGCAAACGTCACACCGAGCTTGACAATTTGCAGACGGTGGCAGTGTGGCAGAGGAATGTCATTGTCCATGGCCTCAGTGGGACACCCTTGGACTGCTTCAAGTACGCAGTCGCCCTGGCCGACTGCAGGGCTGACAAACCTCCTCCATGGCTGGTGTCGGAGTTGAAAGGACGTGTGAACTCTTTCGAGACCAGGCTCAGCATCGTGAAGGAGAAAAACAAGCAGTGGTTCACTACAAACAAGGTTGCCCCGCAGCATTGCCAGATGAACTCCTACTCGAACCTTGCACTTCGACTGAGATTTATCAAAGGGTTCCATGCCCTTGATAAATTGGCAGAACTCGCCTCCAAGATGGGAATGCTTCGGCTGGTGAGCAAGCCGTTCCCGGTTCCCAAGTCAGTTCTTCTTGGTTCAGGAATTTTGTCCTCGGAGGCGTTTTCCACATCTGCCGAGCGGGACAGCGTGCCATCCTGGCGCAACACATCATCCTTCTCGGGGAAGTGCCTTGTCTTTGATTGGTGACTTTCTCCTGCGTAGCACTCTAGAAAACATTTATGCAGCTCTGGGAATCTCTAGGCTGGTGGATGTCCTTGACACGCGCTACTTTGCCTACATTGTTCCGTCTGGAAATACCGAGAAGTCAGCCTTCCTTTCTGACAAGGCGTGGGCCGCCTTTGCGCGTCTCATCACACATTTCGAGGTGTGTCTCGAGTCCGAGTTCGGACCTCCTGCAGGATGGGATCAGAGCGTTACCGCGGTCTTGCGGCAGATGTGGTTGGGGGAGCTTGATACGGAGTTTGTCAAGGCTTCCGACAGCCTGCCCGAGAGTTACGACAACAACAAGCAGCTTCCGGCCAGATCATTATTAGGGCGTTTGCTGCTGCTGGCGTTGTTTTGTAAGTTGGGGTAGCACTATGAAGCAGTAAGTATGTCCCACCTGCGCGCCTAAACAATCGTCGGTCAGGTTGATGAGTGCTCGGTGCAAAGAGTTCCCGCCGATTGCGCGCCTGCTGAACACCAAAAGTCTGAGCGCAGCCAACTTCGTGGTCCTGCAACCGTCCGCCCTGCCTGAGAAGAAGGTGGAAGTGGAGAAGGCCGCAGCAGACAAGGCCGCGGAGGAGGAAGTCAAGACAGACTCCAACATGTCCCCGGCAGAGAAAAAGCAGCTTGCGGAGCGCTTGAGCGCGGAAGCTCTCGCTACTCGCCAAGCTGAAATCCAAACACTACTTCAGAGGAACGCTGCAGAATGTTATCGAACACGCGTTCACATTTTCCCGAACATTGACAGCTGCAAGTCCTTCATGGAGTCGTGCGCTGGACAGTTCTCCGCTGGACTCACTGCCAGGACAGTGTTGGTTGACTTCACCATGCTGTCGTCGTTGCAAGCTGGAAAGACCCGACACGCCTCCAAGGCGCCCTCCAAGGATGTGCAGAAAACCTTGGCAGAGGATTTGAAGAAGCTGCCTAGCTCCCCCATTGTGGGCCATGTGCTTGCACGAAGTGGTGGCCATAGCATTGCCACCTTCCAGGAGCAGATTGAGGCAACCCATGGCTTCAAGCGTTCCATCATGGTGCCGCTTGAGGTCCCGGAGGAGTTCATGCGCTACCTGCGCTCAGCACAGGCTCGCAGCCGTGGACCCACAGACGATGTGTCCTCCGGCGTTGACTTTGCCATGTTCACTGTGGGGCGGCAGATCCTTGGGCCTAAGGATAAGGGAGATGGTGCAGCAAGCGACGGTGACGCTGATATGGATGCTGGTGACGATGATGATGTGGTTTCCGAACAAGTGAACGTCCAGAAGCTTTCCCCGGACCAGATGAACGCAGCCGAGCTGAAACAGATGTTCGGCGAGTCTGCCGAGGATATCTCTGCGCTTGTGTTCCAGCATTCATCAAGGCTAGGCAGCGCAGCAACTTGCAAGCAGATAGATCCGTAGGAGTTGTTCGGGATTGAGCCATGTTGCCACACACATGTCCTCACATGCATTTGCGAGTGCTTGAATCCACCTGCCTGACTATGCTACAGGCACGCTTTCTGCGCAAGGAGGAATATGTTCTTGTCCAGATGAATGAGAGGCAAGGGAGATCCATCTCATGGACATGAAATGTCTTGCTTATATCTTTCCAGTAAGTGTGTTTCATTCGACACTTGTATGTGGTCAGGACGCTTCCAAAGCGTTACCGTAAGACGCAAGTGGATCCATCTGTGCTGCTGTCCGCCTTCAATTCCTGCCTGTCAACAACTCCAGCTGCGCTTGAGCCGAGTGAGTGTCTGGTTGTGATGACGGGTGGAACACCCGAACCAGTCGTGGCTGGGATTGCTGCAG